CTGGGGGGCATCGGGTGGGTGGCTCTGTGCCGTGCCAGGTGCAGGGTCTGCTAGCTGGGTGCTGGCAGGCTTGCACCTGGCACGGGCACCGTAGCCAGCCCGTGCCCCTTTAAAGGGTCCGGGGCCGGGAGGGGGGCATAGAGTTTCCCTGGTGTTGGCCAGAGTGGCCACCAGGGAAACCTGGGAAGCCTTAGCCTCCCACTAGTTCGAATTAAGGGTCTACACAGCCCTTAATTCGAACTAGCTAGTTCGAACTAGGCTTAATCCTCGTAAAATGAGGTTTAACTAGTTCGAACTAAGTGCTCCGCTAGTTTTAATTAAATTCGAACTAACGGAGCGCTAGTGTAGCGCCTATGAAAGTTAGTTCGAACTAACGTCTGTTAGTTCGAACTAACTCTGTAATGTAGACATACCCTGACAGATCTTCCAATGCCCGACCTGACCGTGTCCCGTAACGACTCTCAGAGACAGACCCTCACTGGCTTTGCCCTCGGGACAGGTGCAGAGCTCTGTGTTGGCAGGTTGCACAGGGTTGCCAGGTGTCCAGTATTGATCCAGACAGTCCGGTATTTTCGCCTCCTGTACAGTAAAAAAACCCAGTAACCTACAATGTCCGGTATTTTCCGATTTTTTTTCCTGCCAGGAGACAAAAATACTGGACACCTGGCAACCATACAGCAACCGGGCCTAGTCTCTCCCCACCTCAGCTCCCCGTTCCCCCTCTCAGCTCCCCATCCCCCCTGCTTACCTGGTTCCTCAGAGAAGCTGCCTTCTGGCTTTGATCAAGAAAACAAGATGGCCGCTGGCAAAAGGCCTAAAAACTTTTCTTAAAGGGGCCAGGCTGTTTTATTTGTTGTATTTTTTTGCTTAAGTCTCTGGGTCCTTTTTTTGGTGTTTGGTTCAACAGAAATTTTTCCCCAGTGTTTTTTTGGGGGGGAGGGGAAGGGGGCATTTGGTATTTTGGGGTAAACCATCTGGCCACCTTAAGAACCCCATGCTGCACAACACAGATTCATTGATTACAAGGCACTAAGGGACCGTCTTGACCATCTGGTCTGATATTCAGCTTGAGTCAGGCCAGAGGATTTCACATGGATGTTCCTGAGTCAGATGAACATGTTTATACTGCAACTATACATCACACCACAGTAACTCTAACTCAGGAACCAATCCATGCAACACACCTCGGTGCCAACTCTGCCCTCATATCTACACCAGCGACACCGTCACAGGACCTAGCCATGTCAGCCACTCCATCATTGCTTCATTCACCTGCACATCTACCAATATGATATACGCCATCCTGTGCCAGCAATGCTCCTCTACTATATACATCGGCCAAACTGGACAGTCCCTACGTAAAAGAATCAATGGACACAAATCTGATATTAGGAATGGCAACATACAAAAACCTGTAGGAGAACACTTCTATCTCCCTGGACACACAATTGAAGATTTAAAGGTAGGCATCCCACAGCAAAAAAACATCAAGTACGTCTAGACTACAGGGTTTTTTTGCGCAAGATTTTGTTGACAGTATCTGTCGACAAAACTTCTGTCGACATAGAGCATCTAGACACATTCAATTCTGTTGACAAAGCAAGCTGCTTTGACGACAAAACCGTGTAGTCTAGACGCAACCCAACAGGCAATAACACCGTCTATCGACAGAACTCTGTCAACAGAAGGCGTTATGCCTCGTAAAATGAGGTTTACCAGCGTCGACAAAACTGCTGAGTTCTGGCGACGTTATGTCGACAGAACTCAGCGGTAGTGTAGACGCAGGTATTGTTTTGTCGACAAAAGTCCATTTTTGTCGACAAAACTCAGTAGTCTAGACACACCCCTAGACCAGACTTCAAAGAGAAACTGCTGAGCTGCAGTTCATCTGGCAACATGACACCATGGCTACGTCTACACTGGCATGATTTTCCGAAAATTCTTTTCACGGAAAAGTTTTCCGTGAAAAGCATTTTCGGAAAAATCGCGTCTAGATTGGCAGGATGCTTTTCCGGAAAAGCACTTTTTGCGGAAAAGCATCCGTGGCCAATCTAGATGCGGTTTTCCGCAAAAAAGCCCCGATCGCCATTTTCACGATCGGGGTTTTTTTGCGGAAAACAGTACTATTCTGTCGACACTGGCCCTTTTGTGCAAAAGTCTTTCGGAAAAAGACTTTTGCCCGAACAGGAGCAGCATAGTATTTCCGGAAAAGCACTGATGATTTTACATGAGATCGTCAGTGATTTTCCGGAAATTCAAGGGGCCAGTGTAGACATCTGGCAAGATTTTCTGCAAAATCATCTAATTTTGCGGAAAAACTTGCCAGTCTAGACACAGCCATAGGGTATGTCTAGACTGCATCTCTTATGCCTCGTGACAGAGGGATGCAGGCTAGACATACCCATAGACTCCTAGAGCTGGAAGAGACCTCAGGATGTTGTCAAGTCCCGCCCTCTGTCCAAAGCAAGACCAACCCCAACTCAAGCATCTCAACCAGGACTTGGTCAACCTGAGACTTAAAAACCTCTAGGGATGGAGATTCCACCCCCTCCGTAGGGAACCCAGCCCAGCGCTTCCCCACCCGCCTAGGGAAATTGTTTTTCCTAATATCCAACCTAGACCTCCCCAACTGTAACTCATTGATGAGTGGCAGCTAATCAAAAAATTCTTTCCTAGAGTTTTCTGTGCTGTGTTTGTAACCAGGGCCCGGCTATGGTCCTTGGTTCCGCACCGTTCGAAATGGGCTTGATTTGCCACGGAGCTGAGGTCTCCCGGAAGTCGGTGGGGGAGACAAGTCCCCAATCCAGCTGTAAATCAGACCCAGGGGGTTAATCAACACCAGGA